TAAGACAGTGATACTCAAGAGACTATGTTGGAAGTGAACCTTACAAATTGGTGGGGTGGAGTCATGTGAGGAAAGTGGGAGAAAATGACAGAAGAGGTAACACTATTTGATAAGAAGTTTACTCTTTACCTTACTTATGTAACTGCAATTCCTCTATACATCACCTTTATAATAAAATAAAATATTATTTAAATAGACTATAGTTTAAGCTGGCTGTCAGTGGCTTACACCTGTAATCCTAGCTATTCAGGAGGCTTAGATTTGATGATAGTAGTTCTAAGCCAGCCCAGCCAGGAAAGTCCATGAGACTCTTATCTCTAATTAACCACCAGAAAACCAGAAGTGGCGCTGTGGGTCAAGTGGCGCTTGCCTTGATTTGAAGATCTCAGGGAGAGCACCTAGACCCAGAATTCAAGCCCCATGACTGACGGGGAAAAAAACAAAACTATAGATTCTTATTTTTTATTTTTATTGTAAAGATGCTGTACAGAGAGGTTACAGTTACATGAGTAAGGCAATGAGTACATTACTTGTCGGTCATTGTTACCCCCTCCCTCCTTCCCCCACCTCCCACACTCCCCCTTACCCCGCATTCCCCAAGCCCCAACCCTGCCCGAAGTTGTAGTTTGTTTCCAATATACTGTCCTGTGGGTATCCTTGTTGCAATAGGGCATTGTGTCCTTGTTTCACCGTTTTGTTATTCCCCTTTCTCTCCCCAGATTAGACAAATCCGTTTTTTTTTCCGGGACTTATAAGAGTGATTTCATTTTGGTATTAATTGTATGCATTAACTGTGTAAGATAGAGCTTTTAAGGGTATCTGCATTGTGGGTGATTAAATGGAGCTAATTAGAAAACGCGTTACTTTATAGTTATCTGATTTGTGGAAAGAATCTAACAGCCTTCTCAGCATCTTGCAAAGACACAGTATAACATTACTAACTGTTTACACATACCAGGCTATATCATAGATTTTACAAACTTTTCTCTTTCTGTCTGTTAACAGCTAACAGCGCTCCTTGTGAGGTCATAAAATTCAGTTCTGGTTTGGAATATTACCACACAGAGAATGAGGCAAGGATATAGGAAATGGTGAGGAAGAGGGAGAGAGAATATGTATGGCTGTGTTTATGTGAATATATGTATCCATACATATACATATTCATACATACACACAAATGCATATGGAAAGTGAATTTATTTAGATTTGGTTAAAACTAGGAAGAAAAGTTTCTAATTTCCATAGTCTTTGTCTTGTTCACAGCAGCATCACAATCTATAGAAAAGATACAATGAAGTCAGAAAATATACAGGTGGATATTTCAGCTGTCAACTGTCAGTACAAGGTACAGGGATATTATCTTTTAAGGAATCTCCACACTGATTTCCAGAGTAGTTGGACCAATTTACACTCCCATCAACAGTATAGTACTGTTCCCTTTTGGCCAGGTACCCTCCATCAAAACAATATTGAGATCCACCTCACCCCAGTTAAAATGGCCATTATGAAGAACTCTAATAACAACAGATGCTGGAGGGTATGTCTTTGAACTTTGGCATTTTGATTACAGTTTTTCTTGAAACAGTGACAATTGGGCTGGGTCTGCTTTGAAACTTTGACCATGTTACTTCTTTCTGTGTATTTACATGTGTTCCAGATTTTTAAAGCTTTCTGCTATTGTTTCTTTTACTATGCTTTACAGCACATGTGTGATGTTTCTCTTGATTTCCAACAACTCAAAGACTTGCTCTATTGATATTGTCCCCAATATCCCATAATCTTTGAAATATTAATTTCACATGACTTATCTGAATCACCAAGTTCAGCAAGTCCAGCCTGGATGATATAATGAGGTGAGATCTCAAATGAGTGAAAAAAGGAATGAAAAGGGGAAGGGAGTGGGAATGTGGTCCTCATACTCAATACATATCCTATGAAAATAGGAAATTACAAGGGAGAGGATGGGTTGAGGTAGATGGGCACGGATGATGAAAGGGGAGACACTGAGCAAGGTGCTTTGTACATATAAACTGAGTCGTTAAATAGTAACTTCTTTCTATAAGTAAAGATAATAAAAATATAATTTTAAAAATAAGGACCAGAATAGTAGTCTCTATTACTTGCAGCTGAACAGGAAGTGATGTAAGGATTTGTCTTACAATTGCATTTAGTCAACCAGTATCGTTTCTCTAATAGAGGTTGAAATAGCTTAATGAAGCTTGAAACCAGAGTGGTTCCTTATTATCATCATGTATCCAGTTTATTATTGCTGCATAACCTAGAAGGGAAAATTTGCAGTGTATCATAATTCTGCCTATCCTTTATTCACATATCAACAAATAAATAGTGGAAAATTTTGAAACCAGCTGTGAAATTTAAAATAACGAATGGGTTCACAGTAAGGCTGGATATTTGCACTGCTAGGGTGCATATGGCCCTGTGTGTGAAAATATATTATTTATAGCATCTTTATATTAAATATATATAGATTTCCTACACATATAGATGTGCACAGAATTAATAATGTCCTATGTTTCATGCAATATATGTTACTGTACAATAGATTAGGTAGAGAATCATATAATAATTTGAAAAAGATGCTGTGCATTCATTAATTCGCATATTACAATGTTATGTTTCTTATAATTACAACCAAGAATAATGTAGAAGCTACATCAAACAAACCTTGAGAAGAGAGGACTCATAATGTACATTTTTAAAACAATCATTTATTTTGACATTTCCAATCACTTGTATTTTTTTTTTTTTGTCAGTCATGGGGCTTGAACTCTGGGCCTGGGTGCTGTCCCTGTGCTCTTAAGCTCAAGGCGAGTGCTCTACCGCTTGGGCCACAGCGCCACTTTCAGTTTTCTAGTGGTTTATTGGAGATAAGAGTCTCACGGACTTTCCTGCGCAGGCTGGCTTTGAACCGTGAACCTCAGATGTTAGCCTCCTGAGTAGCTAGGATTACAGGCGTGAGCCACCAGCTCCAGGCATGTGTATTTTTTAATCTGATGTTCACAAGTAATTTATGAAAACACACTATTTTCTATTATCTTTAAGTAGTTATACAAAGAAGTTGCCATTCAACAAAGCACTGTATGAATGTAATGACTATTGATCAATGTTAATCCTCTCATCATTAGTTAAGCCTTTGGTTAAGCCCAGGGCCTTCTGCTCACTAGGCCATTGTTCTTTCACTGAGTGACATTGCTGGCTCCAGCCTCCATTAAAACTTGTTGCTGTTGGTTAAGGGAACGAAACTCAGGGCCTGGTTGCTGTACCTGAGCTTTTCTGCTCAAGGCTAGTGCTCTAACACTTCCAGACGCAGCTCCACTTCTAGTTGTTTGGTGGTTAATTGAAGATAAGAGTATCATGGAGTTGCCTGCCCAGACTAGCTTTGAACCATGATCCTTGGATCTCAGCCTTCTGAGGAAAGAGCTATCAGCACTTAGCAAAACTTTTAAAACTTTTGGAAAAGTATGGATCAAAAATTGACACAATGAATGAATTTCATAGATCTATTGAATTGCATAATTCAATATTTATTTATTATATACTTGAAAATTGATGCTAGATTAAATGTGAACACAGAAAAATGATAATTATGTGATGTGATATTATCTGTATTTTACAACCCATACGTGTATCAAAAACTCACATCATAGACCATAAATATATTTCCATTTTATTCATCAACTCTTCCTTAATAAAACTGGGAAAAATAAGTTGGATGGTTACAAAGATAATGGTCTTACTATTTGAAATCAACCTTAAAATTCCCCAATTTCAGAAAAAGAGTCACATTGATTCAACTGTTTAATATTTGTGTACTGTGGAAGATTAACCTATATTATTAATTTAACTTTCTTTATGACTTTAATAAGGAAGAAAGAATGGAGAAGCCATTGGCAATGAAATCAGAAAGAAATAATTATTTGCTGAGACTTTGTCTGATTTAAGAGCCAGACAATGGTGGTATGCTGTTGATATAAATGAATTTAAAATTACAGGTTATCAGCATCAGAAAAGTTCACAAAGATGGAATAATTCAGACACAAGACCCTTTTATGAACAGAGCACAAATAAAATTGAGGACCTGGAAAATGATCAGTATCTTCTCCTTCCAGATGATCTGAGTGGTTATTGCATCTTTGTTCATCATGCATTAATACAAAATTGGCTGAAATTTATCATCACCCAATTGAGAAGGAAGTCCCTATTTCCTTGATTATTATGTTACTGCACACATTCATAGGTCATTTAATGTGTTACTATTCTGTTTTATATACTCACACAGTAAATCCAATTGTACACCTGTGTGTGCATTCATGCTGGCCTTTCACTAAAGGATATAGAAGAGTTCATTCTGGTGAGTTAGGTGTATATTTACTAAGAATTTTGTATTCATTATTAGGTAAGGCATTTTAAAATAACAATATATAATTTCTCCATCCAGGGAGTAAAAATTCAAAAGCAATCAAAAGCAACTATGAAATAAGATCATTTTAAGAACTGTATTTCCAGGGCTGATCATACAATATATTTCAGTGGAATGCTAAGCAATACTTCTATGTGAAAGGACAACTATATTATTCATGTCCCAAATATATTTTACAATCATTAAATATATTTCTTGCTATGTAAACTGGAGACCTAAGTTGATTCTTACACTAGTGAATTCTATAATATTTAAATTTATATTTGTTACATGTGTCTGTGTGATGATTGTTTGTGTATATGTATATATGAGAATTTTATCTTAGGTATATGCTTTTAGAAACATGTTCAGGTATGTATTGAGATACATATTCTTGTGAGGATGTTATGTACTTTGGCCTATCAATATTGTTTATATGAAGCTTATGAAATCATTGAGACAGAATCATTAGAAATGGGGCTAAAATAACATAATAAGGAAACATAACAGTGATAACTGAAGCAGTCAAACCTGAAATGTCATTAAGAGATGAGACCAATAAGGGTCCCTCCTGAAACCACTAATGCTTCAGAAATGAGAACACCCTCCTAATTCCTGCCTGCATCTCCTTGTTGCGGAAACTGTACACAATGGGGTTTAAGGTGGGTGTTACAAGGGTATAGAGGGCAGCTACAACTTTATCCCTTTCAAATGTGTAGCTGGAAGCTGGGCGGATGTAGGTGTAGATCACAGGGGAATAATACAAGGATACCACGATGAGGTGGGAGGAGCATGTAGAGAAGGCCTTCTTCTTGCCTGCTGCTGTGCGGATGCGGAGAACCGCAGCAATGATAAAACCATAGGAGATACAGGTGAGGGTGAAGTCCCCTACCGCCAGAGTGATGTCAGCTACATACAACATCACCTCATTAGCCCTTACAGAGCTGCAAGACAGAGCCAGCAGAGGGGGTATCTCACAGAAGAAGTGATTAATGGTGTTTGGCCCACAGAAAGTCAACCTCAGGATGAGACCTGTATGTACCCAGGAATTTGTTACTGCAATAGCCATGACAATGCTGAGCAAGGCTACACACATATAATAATTCATAATGGTACTATAATGAAGAGGGAAACAGATGGCCACGTAGCGGTCATAGGCCATGGTGGTGAACAGAACCATCTCAGCCCCCAGAGACCAGGTGAAGAAGAAGAGCTGAGACATGCAACCTCCATAGGAAATGGTGTTGCTTGATGTTAGCATGTTGCTGAGCATCTTCGGTATGATGGTGGTGGTGCAGATGATATCCACAATGGCCAGTGCCAGAAGGAGAACATACATGGGAGTATGCAAGGTGGTGTTATAGATTATGGCAATGACAATGAGAAGATTGCCCAGGAAAGCCACGAGGTAGATAAAGAGAAAGACGATGAAGAGAATTCCCTGGAGTTCAGGTCTTTTTGTAAGTCCCAGGATGAGGAACTCAGTGACGGTGCTGTGGTTCATTTTGCATGGGTAATTACATGGAAGTCATTGTAGAACATGAGCAGCTGAGAACTAAAGGGATGAGCATGCTGGCATCAGGAGATATTGAAGGCTGTGTGGGGGCTTATACTTAATGGTTTCATTATTAATGTGATACAGATTTTCAATGTGAATTCTCTCAGGGTGGAGTTCTGATTTCCAGCCAATATTCTCTGATATTGAAATCAGGCAGATTTCCTTCTCTGAGGCGTATTCTTCCATGGGTAACTCAGACAAACTGAGGACAAAGATTGGAAAGAAAAATAGAAGAAAAATAAATGTCTTCAAATATTTCAATACAACCTATTTCGCTTGAAATGTGAACATAATTTTCCTCTCCCCCCACATATCTATCCAATGGATATATGCAAATAAATACACATTTCAATAACTTGGCTAACTATAAAACATTAGAGGCTCATAGGGTTAGAGTGGAACATTCCAGGGTAAATCCCTACTAAACATTCTGGCAAGTGTACACAAAAACTGAATGACATGAGTGAGGTTTGCAAGAAGATAAATGTTTTAGTAGAAATGAGTTTGGAGCAGGGAAATATAGAGTAGATAGCTGATGTCTGAAATTTAAATCAAATGTTTGAATATTTTTTTAAATCTGATATTAAAATGATATAAACTAATTATTAAGGTAGTTACTGTTGAATTCTGGTTTGAACATCCCATTTCTGAATCAAAAATCTGATATCAGACTTTGAGAATCAATAAAGCATTATCCCCTTTCAGCCTGTGTGCATGTACACACACTGATATTTAAGTGTAAGTTTAATTTTCATAATTAAAGTGAAGAAAGCACATTTTTTGGAAAAATTATGTTTACTGACATAAGATTGTATTTATTCATCTTATTGGACAATGTATTTTCTACTGATCATTTCTCTGGAACATGGGAGAGAACTCAGTCACAAGATCAAAATTAAAATCTCAAATTGAGAAAGTTTATGGATCAATAGAAAAAATATTGGGAATAGAACCAAAGGAAAAAGAAAATAATTGCAAACTGTACAATAAAAATACTCTTGTTTCTATTTCTTGGAGTAGTTTTGATAAGCATCATTTTATATGATCATATGAATGTAGGTATTGATCCCTTATGATAGTCTCCTAAGAATATCCTCCTTTGTTCTCATTATATGAATGTTTTAGAGTGCTGTTTAATTAATCATGCCTAGGTGTAATTATTTGTCATTTACTACCGATTGGGTTTACTTGTTGATTTATAGGCATATTTTATTATTACAAATGATGGAAACCTATGTTTCTTTGGGTTTGGATTACTTTGCTTAACATAAATTTTTTCAAGTCTTTCAGTTTCCTTATGAATATGTTAATATCATTCTTTCTGATGGAAGCATAGACTTGTAATTTATATAAATAAATATATATATGGTATATATGAAATATGATATATGTATATAAACCATATTTTCTTGATCTATTTGTCCACTGAGGGACATATGAGGTGATTCCCTATCCTAGCTGTGATAAACAATGCTGCAAAGAACATGGAGCTGGTGGCTTTATTTTGGCCTAGTTGGTAGTCTACTGGATAAATGACCAGGAGTGGAATTGCTATGTTTAGTAATTTAAGGAACCTCAATACTGCCTTCCAGAGTGGTTGAACAAATTTACATTCCACCAACTGTAATAGGGTTCCCATTTGGCTGCATCCCTGCCAGCATCTGTTATTATTAGTTTTCTTGATAATGGCCATTCTTACTGGCCAATCTCAATGTTATTTTGATTTGCACTTCTTTTATGGCCAGAGATGATGAACATTTCTTCATTTGTCTATTAGTCCTTCTTAGTTCTTATTAGAAGTCTCTTTTTAAGTCTTTAGCCCATTTATGAATGGGTTTGTCTTTTATGTAAGTTTATCTGATTTGGGAGGAGAAGGGGAAGCTCAGAAATGGTGGGCCAAAGGGTGAACCAATTCAACAATGACACTCATTAGACATCATGTTAGAAATGAACTATACAACTTGGAGAGGAGGAGGAAGGGAGGGGAATAACTGGGAGAAAAGGAGGGAGTGGATGACACTGCTAAAAATGTACTCATTTCCTCACTTATGCAACTGTGACCCCTGTATATGTCAGCTTTACAATAAAATTTAAATTAAAAGATAAAAAAATTGTCAAAATGATCAGGTTATCAAAAGCCACAGACTAATTCAGTACAATCCTCGTAAAAATGTCAATGACATTCTTTGAAATAGAAAGCAATCCTGAAATTCATATGAAAACACAAAAGGCTCCAAGTAGTCTAAGAAATCCTGAACAAAAAGCAATGATGTAGCTATCACAATAACTGATTTCAAATTATACAAAATATCGTTATTCCAAAAGCAATAGGGAAGTCACCTCTAGCTTGTTAGCCTTGCATTAAGAGCAAAGGTAGAAGAACTTGGGGGCTGTATTTCTCATTTGTCCTTCTAATGGTTGCAACTTTCTCATATCAAATTGTTGAGATTCAATGTCTGAAGACCTTGTTTTAGTCTCAGGGAAACTGAGGCAGTTGGGACACTGTAAGTCACCCCAAGTCATCAATACCATGCCTGTTCCTTAGAATTCCAGTCATTTTTTAACATTCAAAGGACTTTATTCTCTATTTTTTTAAAATGGCTCAATTTTCTAATTTAACTTGAAGTTTATCACTCACTTTATTCCAGAGTTGATCAGAGATTCTCAGATATTTGAAGCAACTCAGGGCTACTTCAAATCCTGATACAATGACAATGTTTGAAAGCTCATTTTAAAACTATTGAAATTAAATTATATGCCAATTTAGGAAAGCTATATCTCAAACATACAAGTTGGTATCACTATAATCACTTAAGCTGATTTTCTGTTAAATTTGTAAGTGCAATATAAACACCAGTATTATTAGATAGCTCTCTCTGCTCTGAATTAAATTATAATTATAGCTTTTGGATACATTTTCTCTAATGCTGTTGTTAAAAAGTATCTAATACATTACTTGATTCCCAAAAAATCTCTATTTGGTTTCAATTTTATCATCAACATAAAAATCAGACAGATACTCACTTTAGCTCTTTGTAGGATATATTGCTGTGTTTGAATGATGACTTGTACTAACTCACTGGAACAATAGGAAACACATACAGTAGTCCCTATCTATTTTCTGCCTTACTATATCTCATGCTTACTTAAGTACTGTCTCATTTATTCTTATGATCAATCAACAGTCTGGTTCCTCACTCAAATACTATGGGCCCCAGGGACAGCATCTTGGGCCAGTCTGCAAAAAGAAAAGAATGGATCTCAAAGGAACAATTAAAACAAGCCTGCACTGATTACTAATTATGGTACGGCATGATTTGGCCTCAAAGTTTCATCATTTCTCTATGAAGACCAAACTGTACTCTAAGAAAATGTCTTCATGGAGTTGGAGCTTGAATAATGAGAGACACTGAGAATACACTTATTAAAACAATTATATTTCTTCCCTTCTCAATAGAAATTAAGAAAGGAGGGATTGAAGGTGTAGCTTAGTAGAAGGGCATTTGCCTATCATGTGCAGGGCTCTGGGTTTGATTCTTGGCCCTGAATAAAAATCAATAGGGAGGACTGGAAGTAAATTTCAAAATGAGGATTTAAACAAAGTTTGCAAACATTCACTGTGGCAACATGATTTGGTTTTCAGTTGAATATAACCTAAAACTGATCGTCTTCAATTAACCAGCAAGAAGTAAGACAGGAAATTGTGGATGAAGTGAGAAGTTATGAGCCTTGAGCCCAAAAGCCAAGCAAGAGCTGAAGGCCCCGAGCTCAAGTATCACTATACACCACACACATGTACCCTAGTGCATAAAAAAGAATATATTATTCATAGTTGTTATTTTTGAATTTTCTTTTTTTAATTTAATTTTATTGTGAAGCTGATGTATAGAGGGGTTATGGTGACATACATAAAGTAGTGAGTACATTTCTTGTTAAATGTTGTTTACCACCACCCCCCCTTTATTTTTCTTCCACTTTCCCTCCTACATTCTGTTGATTTTCAATTTCATTCTTTTGTGTTTGGAGAGGATACATTGCATAATTTTAACTAATCATATTGCAGTTGCTTTGACTTTCACAACCCCCACTCCTCTCTTCTGCTTTCAATATTCTTTGTCTTTTGTCTTTGAAAGTTTGTTTATAATGCATGGATCTTTTGAATTCATCTTACATAGAATTTGTAGAGGTTCTTGGGTTTTTTTGTTTTTGTTTTTTGTTTTTTTTGGTTGGTCATGGGGCTTGAACTTGGCCTGGCATTGTCCCTAATCTTTTCAGCTCAAGGCCAGCACTCTACCACTTGAGCCTCAGTGCCACTTCTGATTTTCTGTGGTTAATTGGAGATAAGAGTCCTACAGACTTTCCTGTCTGCCTGGGCTGGCTTTGAACCACAATCCTCAGATCTCAGCCTCCTGAGTATCTAGGATTACAGGTGTGAGCCACTGGTGCCTGGCCTTGTTGAGCTTCTTAAAAGTGCAAACTCATGTATCTGTTATCCAAATGAAACATTTTTAATCATTTTGTATATGTGTGTATACATATATATATATATACATATATATATATATATATACATACATACATACATACTCTTTTTACTTATTTATTCTTTAGGTAGTACTGGAGTTTAAATTTGAAATTTCTTAGCTTCTTTTCTTGGGTTGAACTGTGATTCTAGCCCAAATTTTTGTGGTGACATTTGGAGACAATCTTATGGGCTTTTCTACCTGGACTGGCTTAGAACTGAAATTACTCAGAACTCAGTCTCCTGAGTAGCTGATATGAGCCAAGTGTACCTCGATTTTATATATTCTTTTGTCCCTTTGTTGTTGTTGTTGGTGGTGGTGGTAGTCTTGAGGCTTGAACTCTGGGCCTGGGAGCTATCCCTCAGCCCTTCAGCTCAGGCTAGCACTCTACCACTTGAGCCACAGTGCCACTCCCAGTTTTCTGGTGGTTTATTGGAGATAAGAGTCTCCTGGACTTTCCTGTCCTGGCTGACTCTGAACTGTGATCATCAGATCTCAGCCTCCTGCGTAGCTAGGATTACAGGCATGAGCCACTGATGTCCAGCATATCCCTTTTATATATTCTTTTGATCCTCTGTCCTCTATGCCTCCATCAGAAAGAATGACATAGCCCCATTTGTTAGGAAATGGAAAGACTTGGAAAAAATTATATTACAGTGAAAGCAGGGGCTATACCATGGGGGAGGGACATACAAAGCAATAGAGAAATCATCTTATAAATATGTTAGAAACAATAGCAAGAAAGAAAAACCATTTGAATCCTTATATCTGACCTTTTCTGCTTGTCTCAGACAGATACTAGTTATTGAATATAAGGGAAACCATGGAACCTATGTTTCTTTGGACCTGGCTTTCTTCACTTAATATAATTTTTTCAAGTCTTTCCATTTCCTAACAAATGGGGCAATGTCATTCTTTCTGATGGAGGCATAGAATTCCATTGTGTATATATGCCACATTTTCTTGATCCATTCATCTACTGAGGGGCATCTGGGTTGGTTTGATGTTGGTATAATTTGTGGAGGGGAAGGGAAAAAACAAATCGTTTAAATAGGGATACAGGTGAACCCATTGCAACAATGAGATGTACAAGTTGTTATGTTGAAAAAGGAAATTTACAACTTTGGCTGGAGGGGGGTAGAGGAGGGGGTTGGAGCGGAGGAGGTTGGGGGTTGGTGGGTGGGAGATGGGAAGGGATGGGAAGGGGAAACAAAGGAGGAGGCAACAATGCTTGATAAGAAATGTACTCATTACCTTGCTCATGTAATTGTAACCTCTCTGTATGGTATTTTCACAATAAAAAAAGAAACAGGTAATAAAAAATATATTAAGTGAAGTAAGCCAGGCCCAAAGAAACATTGGTCCCATGGTTTCCCTTATTTGCAATTGCTAGTATATGTCTGAGACAAGCAGAAACGGTCAGGTAAGTTGTTGTTAGGCGAAATGAACCCCAAGATAAGGATTCAAATGTTTTTTCTTTCTTGCTATTGTTTCTAACATATTTATAAGATGATTTCTTTGTTGCTTTGTTTGTTCCTCCCCCATTGTATTTGATGTTGGTAGAATTTGTGGACTGGAAGGGAAAAAACAAATGTTTAAATAGGGATACAGGTGGACCCCTTGCAACAATGAAATGTACAAGACATTATGTTGAAAATGAACTTTACAACTTTGGCTGGGGGTGGGACATGTTGGGGGGAGATGGGAAGTGATAGGAAGGGGAAACAAAGGAAGAGGCAACAATGCTTGATAAGAAATGTACTCATTACCTTACCCATGTAATTGTAACCCCTCTGTATGGTATTTTCACAATAAAATAAACCTACTGGAACATCTATAATATATATTATATACTTGAATACTTAATTGTGTACTATAATTCTCTTAATTTTTCTTCACCTTTCTCCATTTTATAATCTTTTAGTTTCATAGGCAATTTTAAATTACTTACCATTAAGTTTATTATAATAATTTAATCTATTTACTTACTTTTCCTATTGCATCTTCCCTAAAGAATTATTTCAGCTATTGTACTTTTCTAGTATTTTATGTGATTATGTTTTATAGTGTCTATTTTTGTTGACATTTTCCCATATTGGTGCAGAACTCTCCTGATTACATTTAGTTTTGTTCTTTTTCTGGTAGATAAAAGTAAAATATCTGTTTTTCATTAATTTCAATTTTTCTGGCTAGTCACTATAATTGATGAAAACCTTTTAATTTAAAATGAGGTACATGGTTTCTATTTGAAACATATTCTTTTATGGTTTTACTTTTATTATTATTTATTTATGGTTTTTAATAATTTTATGTGCTATAATTTGTATTCTTACAATACAGTTGGTATTTACCAATCACCCAATGAATCCCATAGTTGATGTTCCATGAACTATGATTTTTAAATTTTCATCATGGACTATTATGTGTTTTTTAAATAATAATAATAAACTCCTAATCGAGTTTCATGGTCCTGATCCCACTTTAACAATATATAATTTTCCTTAGAATCATCTTCCATGTCAATGACATAAATTCAGATCCTAAACCTATATATGACACTAGAATGGGTGTATATATTGCACAGCTGACAATTTTAGATAGAATTTCTCTTCCCCAGATGAGGTCAGAAATAGCATTCCTCTTTCCCAAAGTCAGCTCTAATAACTAGCACCATCACTTTGTAGTCTCCCTTCTTTCTGGAAGACCTTCATTTGACAGACAGCTCCCTTCTCAACATCATAAAGAAGGAATGTTGCAGGGTAAATAAATCTGATGAATAGACCATAAGAGATTTCTCCTCAGATTACTCTTTTATCCAATCACTTTTAAGCTTGACTGTTCAATCCTCATTGAATTGAAACATAAAAAATACAGTTTTCCCTGAATTTTAGAATCTTCATTGCTTTGAGTTTACTTGTTGTATAAAACTATAGATAAATACATCATGCTTTTCTTTTATATATATTATATTTTTATTATAAAGATACTGTACAAGGGATTACAGTTACATAAATAAGGTAATGAGTACATTTCCTATAGAGCATTGTTACCGCCTCCTTTGTTTTTTCCCTACTATTCCTTCCCTGCCCACCTCCCCAACTTCTCCCTCCTCCAGGCCTGAAGTCGTAATGTTTGTTTTCGATACAGTGTCTTGTACGTCTCATTGTTACAATGGGTCAGCCTGTATCCTCGTTTCAGCATTTTGTTATTTCCCTTCCCCTCCCCATATTAGAAAAATGTATATATAAGATACAGGGCACCAGAATTAAATCTTTTGTAAAGGAGTAGTGCTTATAGTGCTTCTAATACCTATTGCTCCTATAGTACCTTAGGCAGTAGACTTTTAACATAGACCTTTTGAAACTTGGTGTGTATCACCCTCATAACAAAACATATTTTCCTATTTCTTTAAAATATATATCTGGCTTGTTTTTTCCTTGCACAGTACATACTTGAAACTAGGGCAAGTTTCAGATATTTCAAAGATATTTCAAATATTTGAAAATATAAACAACCTAGGCCTAAGAGATAACTGCCACTCAGCATTCCACTCCCTACAATGGCAAGCTGATGGAGTAGAACCAACAGAAGCCGCCTGGACTTGATGTACTGTTTCTAATCCATAGTCATTGGAAAAGGGTAATTTTTAGGAAATAGAACTTCTGTGCATTGGTGGGTTAAAAGGAAGGTACTACACTTTATTTCCTACTGATGTAATTCCTTTGAACAGAAACCAAATACCTATGATTATTGCTTCTTATTGTCATTTATTGAAACTAGTGGGTGCTCAGATCTCAGTGACTTTGTCTTGGCACTCATCAGAACACACAATTTTCACTTTCTAATGCTGATACATTTTAATCGTACAACACCAACATTTTAGATGGTCTTGTTCATGTTCCTCCTGCACCAAATGTGACACACTAAAATTATCCCGTTTCTAACACCATCCTCATCTATTTTACTGTATTCTGTACAAAGAAAACATACTATATTGAAATCATTGCCTATTAATTTCATGAACACTTTTACTTATTTAAAATCTCTCTATTTCTCATGTCCCTTATTTCACAAATACAACTCTATAATATTTTTACTTAGATTATAAAATAAAATAATTTAATAATAAAGGTTGAGTTTTCATGATGTTCCCTCATTAATGCAATAAATAAAATCAATAAAATTATATCATTCATTTTATAAGTCAAAGTTGGGAGACACTAATTAAATGTGATTTTTGTTTAAAAAGTAATATATGCTTATACTAAAACATTTTATTCTCATGTAAGAATGTATCAATGTAATTTTTTCCAAGTCTTTCAATTTCCTTATGAATGGTACAATTACAATTCTTTCTGATGGAACTGTAGGATTCCACTGTGTACATATACCACATTTTCTTGATATATAATTTGTGAGGGAGGAGGTGAGGAGGGAAAACTGGGAGTAAGCAAGGAAAGTGGCAACAGTGTTCAAAAAGACATGTGCTCATTTCTTGACTTATGTACCTCTAACCCCTCTGTACATCACCTATACAATAACAATAATAAAAAACAAAAGAGAATGTAGAAACAGTAACATATGATTAATATTTTATAGTTCCTTTTGAATTATAAGGTTGTTTTCCCTTTGCTCTCTTCTGTCCTTGAATCAAAGATTCTGATTTTCCTTGATCCTACATGTTATCTCTGCAGAGATACTGACTACAATTTACAAACCATTTGTTATGTTGGAGATTCATTTCCTCTTCCATTTCTTCAGAAGAGTTTCTCTGACTTCCTTGTTGCGTAGAGTATAGATGAAGGGATTTAGCACTGGAGTCACCACTGTGTTGAGGACATGGACAGCTTTGGTCAGATCTAAAGCATCTTTGATGGATGTCCGAACATGAAGGAAAATGGTGGACCCATACCAGATGAGCACCACAGTGAGATGGGAGGAACAAGTGGAAAAGGCTTTGCTTCGGCCACTGCCAGAGGGGATTCTGAGGATGGTGTTGATAATATATATGTAGGAGACCAATGTGATAAGACAGGAACTCAAGATGACCACAAAAGCAATCCCAAAAGACACCAGCTCCACTGCCTGTGTGCTCGTGCAGGCCAGGGCTATCCAAGGTGCAATGTCACAGAAGAAGTGATTGATAGCACGAGGGCCACAGAAGGATAGGCTGCTGATGAGTGCTGTTGGCACTGCAATGGCCAAGAAACCACAGACCCAGGAGCCTAGAGCCAGCTGCACTGAGAGAAGGCTGCTCATGATGGCCCCATAGTGTAGAGGAAAGCAGATGGCCAGATAGCGGTCATAAGCCATGGCTGCCAGGAGAAAGTATTCTGTGCAGCCTAATGAGAAAACCAAGTACATCTGCAAAAGACAACTTGCAAAGGATATAGTCCGGCTTCTCCCCACCAGAATGGCTAGGGCTTTGGGGACTGCAGCTGTGGTATACCAAATCTCCAGGAAAGAAAGGTTGCTCAAAAAGAAGTACATGGGGGTATGTAACTGCTGGGAGGTACTCACCAACAACAGGATAGCCACGTTACCCACAATTGTGAGTAGGTACATCACAAGAAAGAGCATGAAAAGAGATAGCTGAAGGGCCTGGGTCCCCGGGAAACCCAGTAAGAGAAAATCCTGTAGTAAAGTCTCATTTTTGGTAGTCATTACTTGGTTTATATGGTAGGAGAAAGAAGCACAAAATGAGGGATTTGGTCCAATCATGCAGTCCTAGAAACATAAAAAGAAATTTTTTTTTAGCTGGGGGCCAGTGGCTCATGCCTGTAATTCTAGATACTCAAGAAGCTGAGATCTAAGGACTGCTCTTCTACACCAGCCTAGATAGACAAGTCTGAGTGATGCCATTTCCAATTAACCAGCAAAAACCTGGATAGGAGTTGTGGCTCAAATGGGTAGAGCCTTCGCTTAGAATGAAAATAAGCTAGCAACAGCACAAATCCCTGGGTTCAGGCCCCAGTACCAATGAAAATACACACATACCTATGTACATACATACATACATAATACATTCATATAAATAAGATGAAGTGTGATATTTATTGCCTGCCCACTATGTTCTTGAAGCTGACAGTTAATATCTGCTATTTTAAACACATACATTATAATATGTTATGGTAGTTTAGGAAACTAATATGCAATAAATAGTAATGATGTGCAAAGATTTTTACTGATGCTTTCATTTCATATCCAAGATTCAAATCTAGCCTCTCTGCTGCTTCCATGGTCCCAATCCAAGCTCACAAAATGCTGGCAATTTCATTTGACTCAGTAGACCTTCTGTGTGGCTTTGAAGGAAGGAATACATGTAATTTAGTCTTTTACAGAAACTGGCCTCTTAAAAAGTCCTTGTCATTAATCATGCTTGGTAGATAATGATTCAAAATTGATATTTTAATCATGAGCTCTGTCTGCTGAAAGAATAATTCATAGTAAAATATAAACATTAAGAACATAGTTTCAAATGATTTTAACTTCTCAAGCCTGCACAATTTCATATTTAAATTTATGAGTATGAGACTTTTTCTTCCCAACAAAAGTCCATATTAGACAATTCACTTAACATCCAGCTTTCTGAGTTGGGGATATCCTGGATAATATATGAAATGAGAAGAAGACAAAGACAGGAAACCATTTATATATTATTTCTTAAGATGATTCTTATAAATTATGTCTGAATACTGTTTTTAGCCCAGTCCCCATGAATTAGAAGATCAGTATGAAAGATACGACTGTTATATCTGCAAGTAAACTTGATTAGTAATTAATAGGAATGTTCTGTCTTGGGCATCAGGTTTCTACACTCCTCAACACCAAACTTCCTGCATAAACTCAAATTTGTAGCCCAGGCTAACTACGGCACAGGAATCAGGATGTCAGCTTTGCTGAAATTTTCCCCTCTTCCTGCAGCTGTTTTTCTTTTTATGTGTATGTTTTTAAAATTTCCTATGATAGCAAAAGAATCTAGATTATCATCTCATCAATGAAAAATTATCTTAACTACTCGATGTGGCTCAGAACAACAGGAACTAGAAAAGATAGCCAGTCATAAGTAATGGCTTTCCAAATTTTCTTGAAGAAATTTCAATATATATTCAATGTGCTTCAACCTCTCAGGAGGAGCAGGTGTCTATAAGAGAAACAACTAATTCAAGAGTCAATGTGAAAATTGCTTTCTCTTTATTGTTCAGTAGTCCTGTTTTGAAACACAAACTTTAAGGATCACCATGTTTTTATAATGAAAGAAACAGTAAATTGGGGTTGAAGCTAAGGCAATTGATAAAACTGCAAATGCTGGAAGATTACTCTCTTAGCTTCTCCTTTCTCTCCCTTGATGACCCTCTAATGACAAGTGTTCTGACCTATATCCAGAGACAAGACAGAACAAAAAGAAAAACAAAAAGGAATAGCAACCAATAAGAGCTTGCTCAATTTATTGCCTAACCATTTTCACCATTATGTCTTTTTAGTCTGCCAGCTATCCTTTGTTATGTTATCTCTTGTTAATCTGTTATTTGTATAGTATTGTCAGCCAATTTTCTTCAGAATGAGTGAAGAAAAGAAGTTTCTTTCCTCTGTTACAGCACTTAAGACAGTGTGAATGCTAGTTTACCAGTCAGTGACTGACATGGAACATGAACATTATCAATCCTAGATGCATAATTTCCTTACTATGATCCAAGCTTCACAGATGAGGAAACTACCTTTAGAAGTGGGTGGTCCAAAGTGGGGAGTGAGAACCTTGAATTTGATCTCAAAGTCACAGCATTTAAAACATGGTAGATACAACTTGTGGTTTTCTGAAAATCCCTCAGACATCTGGTTGGTGGATTCACAAAGATGATAGTTTAATTCATATTAAACTGAGAATTTCTGGTCAAAAGACTTTGTATGAAATGACAAGGATTTAATTTTTCTGAGTATGGGATTTGAACAATTATATTCATCTATTTTATTTCCCAGATTTAAAGTGCAAATGTTGATAAGTTAAAACTGGAGAGTAAATATAATATCTGCCATCATATAATTAATAACATCCTTATATTTACTTTCAAGTAAGTCACCAAGTTTTCCAAATATCTCAAACTCATGTGAACTTGAAACAGTAATCATGTTCCATATTTAAAAACCTGATTTTTATTGTTCTATCAGTAAGTAGGTGTTTTTAGTGTGAAGTTTAGGACAATCTAAATGAGATTCAGTGCTTGTAACTGATTCTGGGGACATTGCAGGAGGATCTCAGGCTTGATGTAAGGCTAGAGAGATCCTGTTTCAGAATCTCCCATATAAAGTTAAATAAGAGACTTTTTAAAAATTAACTACTATTTGATTTTTAAAATTAAGCTGGGCTCTGGTATATCACACCTGTAATCCTAGCTACTCAGGAGGTTGAGATCTGAGGATCACAGTTCAAAGCCAGCCTGAGCAGGAAACTCCATAAACTCTTATCTCCAATAAACCACTCAGAAAACTGGAAGTGGTGCTGTGGCTCAAGTGGTAGAGTGCTCACCTTAAGCTGAAGAGCTGAGGGACAGCGCCCAGGCCCCGAGTTCAAGCCCTGTGACCGACAAAAAATTATCAGAGTAAAATAATTGTGTTTCTCATTCATAGACAGTTTGATTGTTGAATACAGAACTTTTGTTTCACAGAAATAGCCACTATGTTATGCAAAGTAACTACATTTAGAATGTGTCTGATTTTAAGAAGACTTCACATGCTTGTTAAATTTTAGGTCAATTATGATGGATCTCTCACATAACACAAATATGTAATTAAAAAACTGGTATAGATTGGATTAAAACTTACCCAGGTGCAAATTCCTCCCCATAAAATTTAATAAACTCCATACATTGTGCCTTCTGAATGTACCTTTGCCCACTTTTCATGACATGATTTTATGTAAAAATACAGTATTCTGATTGAAATAAATTTTCTCTCTCCCTCTCCCTTCCTCCTTCCCTTTCAGTCTTCTCTCATTTCCTTATGTTATACTTTATTTCTTTTTTCATTCATCATAGTTTAACTCCGTCTCCTAAGCTCTTAGAAACTTCTCGTTACGTTTCTGTCTCTTCTTTGTCTTTTCCATCAGATCCTTTCCTGTCCTAGTTACCTTCACCTTCATTCTGGAGTCTTAACATTTTCTCCACTTCAGCAAAGTGAGATTGACCTGAAAACAATTTGTTATTAAGGAGCTGCTTGTGTTGGGATGAATCCTCTGGAGCTTGGTTCTCTCTCTTGGGTCATTAGGTTTAGTTCAAAGATATATGAACTTATACTGTCTTTCTAAATGGATGGCTGCAGAATCTTTCCAAATATTTTATTTTTAGAAAACCATTGTAAAATTACTAGATTTGTGGAAATGAAATGTTTTTAGTTTTTTACATATAATAATAATTTCTATTAATTTATAGAATGAGACTTTTTTTCTTGAATGAGCCACAAAGTTTAAAGAGTCATGAGAAATAAGATCCAACAAAGATTAAACAACTTGATTTTTGGGAACCTAACTCTTGAGTAGACTAAGTGCTTAGCATAAACAAGACCTGGGTTCAATTCACAATAGTCCCCAAATAAAGGAAGCAAGTTTGAATTAACACATAAATTCATAATGCATCATTTTTGTACTTTGGCCAAATATATCAAAGAAATCTGTAATCTTACCTACTCAGGAGCCTGAAATCTGGGTATGGCAGTTTGAAGCCAGCCTAGGCAGGAAAGTTGTGAAAATCTTATATCCAATTAACTACCAAAAGAAAAAAAAAGCCAGAAGTGGAGCTGTGGCTCAAGTGGTAGAGCACTAGACATAAGTAAAAAAGCTCATGGAGAGTACCCAAACCCTGATTTCCTTTTTCTAATCTTCCATAGCTGCTCACTTTATGGCAACTTCTGTAGCCAGCACCTAGGGAGACAAGGAGTCAGGAGGAGAGATTGGACTGTACCAGATAAGCATAGAATTTCACCAACTTCATCTTCTTTACTTGATGCTTGAGGGGGTATGGAAGGGCACAGGAAAAAAGAGGAACACAAGGTTCTCTGGCAACTCCTGCATGATCAGGATACACCTGCCATGCTTCCTATGCTGGCCTGGTTCATATCACTGACAGCCAATTCCATGCCTGCATTAGGAGGCCCATGGACATTTATCTCCACTCTGACCAAAAAATAGATCATTCACTGTGGAAACAATGGTTGACATGATGTGTATTCATCTTAATCTCTTGTTACCAAATACCCAAATCAGAATTGAGTGTTCTACGTGTATTGGATTCCAACTATCACTGAACACTGTGCTTAGAACTAGAAAGTTTAATCTAGAAAGTATTGCAATAATCATAGGAATATGTTCAAATGTCCATTCCTAGACTGAACAGGATTATGAAATATTGAGAGGAAAAGATTGCAATATGGGTGGGGAAACAAGGTTTTCACAAGTTTACATCATTCAGCCATATATTGTACTGCAAACAAAGCAACCAAATCATCTGTTACAGAGATACCAAAGTTATTCTAATCAGTTACAATACAGATAATCAAAATTTATGACATTTATGATTCTATCACTTTTTCGTTTATTAGCAATCAGTCTTCTAAAGGAAAAAAATCCTCAGGGCTTTGATTGTCTTTTCTTGTGATATAAAACACCTTTTAGG